AAAAAAAAAAAAAAAAAAAAAAAAAAAAAAAAAAAAAAAAACGTCCATAATCATAACTGCGGCCTTGGTAGAGGGTAATGGTACCCCATCGCTCATGCTGGTGGTACTATAACAAATTGAAGAAAATCAATTTCTTGTTCATTCAATGTTTATTTGAAGGAATAATAAATACACACTGTCAGCAGAAGGTTGTAAAAATAGAATATTGCCATTTAAATGGCATCTTTTTTTTGAGTAATTTTGGCGCTAGTTGTGAGACGTGTTTATCTTTTCTATTTCTTAACCTTATTGGCTGTGTCCTTGAAAATAAATTTTACATTGCTACTGGCTAAGAGTACTAGGGGAGGCAGTATCGTGAACAGTGATCTTAACACTAATGGACAATAGCAGATAACTCATGTTACTCAGGTTGCCATCGGCAACAAAATCAACTGATTAACAATTCACTCGTATAATTATCACCAACATAAAACTGTGCTTAGGCAAATCATATAATTAAATGTCCAATGCAGATCCAACAACTTAATTTTCTAGAAAAACGCATCAACAAATACAAATGTCATGCTTTTCATCATTTTCTATTTAAAAAAAAAAAAAACATTCTGGATAACATTTTCCCTCCAGATCACCATTTTTCTCTCTGAAGAACCTCAAATAAAATTAACAAGGAAAAAAAAAAAAGCTCACATTCAAAATTATGTAAAATTAAAATTTAAAACCTAATTCCACATCCTTTATTTTGCTTTTCTGAAGCAGCAAATTATCATAAGTGAAAATATTAAAACTTGCGGTAATCCTTACCCTATACAAATAGCAAATCTATATCTATCTAGATATATGTATACATATAAATATAGATACTGTTCACCAACTTCATACTGAAAGACCAGGACATGCGTTCCTAATTCAGGTATCACTGCCACCTTAAATACAAAGAGGACACAGCCAATTGCTTGTTTTCCCTGACTTAAATGATGGTCCCCAACTTAGGGTTCTCTGTATGCGTGTCAAACACATCCCAATACAACCAATCTCTGCCTTTGCTCTGCTGTATTAACACTGTGTGTACTGCTCAATTCCAATGTTTATTCTGCTTCTAAGTCTGAAGCTGTCATATTCATCAACATTATACGTCCATATCATAGGGAAACACTTATTCCCCGTGATGATGACTTGATACTTGATTTGAAGTTCTTGGTTCAGGATTCCGCTGCCTGTGCTGCATCAGCAGCACCAGTTGCTCCCTCTGAAATGGCTTTCTCTGCCTTCTTTTTCTTCTTCTTAGCTGCCTTGCGGTTGGCGGAGGTGGAGAGAAGAGCCTGAAGCGCAATTTTACAGGGAAAATGATAATGGCAAATTTAAACATGAAGGGGAAGTTCATTTAGTGAATTGTTTTACCTCTCCCAATGTTCCCTTCAGCCGGTCCAGCTGCCCTCGTGCCCATAACAAGTGTTGCATACACTACCATACTTGCCAAAATACTTCAGTTTTCACAGACTAAATACAAAACACACACACATGCCACCAACATGATACGCTACCATACTTGCCAAAATACTTCAATTATCACAGACAATAAACAGAAACAAACAACAATTCATAGAAAAGATGATATTTTGATGCCTTTTTCCACCATATTTTGGAATATATAGATCAACAGAGTGACAATAAATACCTTATTTGTTGTTTTGCATCTGTGCCTTTGGTTTTATTAAGTAGGAATGTAATAATGCTAAAACATAGCTATCAAAACAGATCTGTGGGGACTCTTGAGGAATGCAATTAGATTAACACGCCTCCTCGTTTCTTCTGTATTCTTGTAATCAAAAGCTTTTCAGCATTCTATTAAACACCAGGAGGCATGTCAATCCGAGTGCTTCCAGTGAAGTTCCCTGCAGAGTTTCTATGTAAAACAACAGATTTATCGTGAATAATAAGCCCTTGAAGAACTAATATGTACAAGCCAGTCTATTAAAAATGGCAATTTCCCAACATGCTGTTGAGAAACAAAGTAACAATGTTAATCACTACATCTTTTCAATGGGGAAAATTCTTAATTTTACAGATACTGTATCTTAAGTCATTTTTTAAAAATAAGAACATTTCTTTCAAATGGTAGCAACAAAAGTGAAAAGCAGACTACCCTTTAGTTCCATTCTATACAGCAACAGCACCACAATTGCTACTAAAAATATTTTCAAGGATTCCAAAATTACGTATCCATGAGATTGATAAATTTATCCCCAAGGAAAAGATGGAGACATCCCCATGTACCACCTTACCTTAATCTTCTCGTCCTCCACCTGATGCTCAGACTCGTAGACGTCTGGGTCAAACGGCAGCCCTGTGATCTTCAAGGTCCCGTTGGGCATCAACAGCACAGTGAACTTAAACTGGGCTACGTATTCATCTGGCAGGTGGAAAAAATGCATAAACTAATAATAATAACAATACCAGATCAATGTAAATTTTATCTATTTAGGTAGATTTTTAAACAATATGGGGTTAAGGTTGATATCTGTGGATAACACAACTTTTAGGTGATCTGACAAATATTCACTACCAAGCATGGACAGCCGTAGGCTTTTGAAAATTGTATGTCCAGTTATTGATGAAAGACACAAAAGATTTACCAAATATCTAAAACTTGAAATGCTGATAATAATCAACCCCCCTCCCATTATACAAATTAAAAAATTAAAAAGCTGGCCACTATTTGAGGACTGGTGGTGGGGCCTTGAGGAAGAAAGCCATTGGTGAACCAACAAAGTGATTTTCATTTTGATTGTGTCTGCTGAAAAGCTGTTAACTTTCCTGATAATATTGGCATACGTACACAACAACAGGAAAAGATAATTACAGGTAGGAGCTTCAAAATTCAATAAGTTTACATATGAGACAACAATATGATTACTATCTTCAGACCATGTTGCAAAACTGGACTCTGGCCAAAGAAAGTGTTGTTAACACTAATGACGCAGAGATTAACAGCTCGCAGTTAATGACTATAGGCAGGACGTGCTAATAACATCATTAGAGTTTTATTTTTATTCCCTGTAAGCATCTTGGTGTGTACAGAGTTTCAAGGCCACATTTTCCCATTTGTACTAGTACACTAGACCCAGTGATTGCGAAAGAGATTGAAAACTTACCAGACATGTGGGCTGGAGCAAATTAAATTTTGTCTGCCCACACCTTTTTTTACCGGCCCACAACAAAATAATTAAGCTGTTTATTTTCACTTCATTTTTGATGAATATTATTGTCTGGCATTTTAAATCGCTGNCTGTAGACCTACAGAGAATTTAACATTTCTGGCAAAAAAAGTTATCAACCCAACAGCCTTAATTCTTGCAGGTTGTTGCAGGCCTGAATTTTTTTTTTTTTTTTTTTTTTTTTGGCAGGTTAAATTTGTTCAAGGTAATTAAGGTCTCATGGTAAAAGGTCCACTTTTTAGGAAAAAAAATACAACATTGAGAATCGTTCATGGATCTACCAACACCCAACAGCCTGAGGGCATTCAGCCTGATCTGACAAGAGCAAAACCTAACTTTTTCACTAATAATTTGTCCAAAGTAACTGTATTACTATCATTAAAATATCAGAAAATCATAAAAAGGTATTTGTAAACGAGGCAAAGCGATCATTATAAAATTTGAACACTAGCAAGACGAAACAAGCTTTCCTCAAAGATACGTTAGGAAAAAATATTTAAGCATATGCCAATATAATTTTCTTTTTAACACAATATATAAATGCTTTGCAGTCAAGTATGGATAAGCCTACTCATATGCGATTTAGGAATCAATAAAGATAACATTCCTTTTCTAAAACATTTCTTTTTTGTCTGTATTTAAGATATCTTATGTTGCCAGCAGAAAAACTGAAATCTTTGTTCAGAACCATTGAGGACAATTTTAAAATTGGGGAAATCAGAATTTCTGATTTTGAGAATCTTGTAACAGAGATACTTTTCTAATCAAAGACATACTTTTAGCAGACATACTTCCAGTATCAAAGAGAATGTATCAGATATGCTCTCCACATAATAGAGAACATTGTAGCAGAGAAACTTTCCCTATCGAAAGGAATGTTGCAGATGAGATACTTTCCCTGTCAAAGAGGACATTGCAGTAGAGATACTTACTTTTCCTATCAAATAAGCATTGTAACAGACAAACTTACTTTCCCTTTCAGGGAGGACATTGTAGCAAAGATACGTTCAGTATCAAAGAAAATGTAGCAGAGATATTTTCCTTATCAAAGAGGACATTTCAGCAGAGATACTTACTTTCCCTATCAAAGAGGACATTGTAGGACTCGACCAGGCCATGCTTTACACACTCAACCACTCCCATCTTGGCTTTCTTCTCATCCTCAAATGCTCTGGAAATTTTTATCCAATTGAAAATGATTTCTTTTACCAAGAAAATGATTTTGCACTTAGAAAAAAACATTACAACTGGTTTCTTGACAAAATACTTCTCTGCAAAACCAATAAACACTGACTTGAAAGACAGGAAGCTGAAATGAACTTTTACAGTTAAAACCTAATGCTTACAACACTCTTAACTTCATTTGAAATTGGTAATAAACACCTTTAATTCAGCAAATTTTGTAGGCGTTTTTACCCACACTACCAATTAAAATACTTTTTAAAAAAATATTGGCAGTCTTCATGAAGATTGACTTTTTCACTTTATTCATATTTTAACTTCAAATGTTCTGCAAAGCTAATTGTATTTTCTTTGTACTTGAATTTAATGCATAAAACTTTCAGTTAATCAAACTTACCTCAAAGTGAAAGGCATGTTGCTAAATTTTGTCTGTACTTCACTAAAAAATTCTGAAATTAGTAACAGACACTTGGGTTTTCTTATCATTTTACCCCAGGGAATATTCCTTATCCAAAGAAAATTAATCCTGTTAAATTAATATCTTTTCTTTTTCTTTCTTTAACTTTGGAATCATTAAACCACAAGTGGAAATTGATGTGTGTGCCTAAAGATGGCTGTAATTTAGCAAGAGACAGTTAACTGTCAAAAACTTACTTGCTACATTTTAATTCTGGAGGTACATATTCCAAGAGTTCACGCCACTGCCAGAAATACATGCCAAGAAACAAATTGGAACAGTATTTAAACGAGAAAGCTTGCAAAATACACTAGGAGGTACTCACGTCTTGATGCCTTCATCTTCAGCTGATATATGAGATCTTTTTTCTTATACACAGTGGTCCTGGCATCCATTTCTCGGCCCTGAAACACATTTGCAAGCAGCACTTCAACAGTAAACAGCTTAGTGCAGACACAAAATTCAATTTCTTACATACACATAAGCCTAACACATTCAAGTTCACTTTTTCCAGACAAGAAAGTAGATAAGGGCAGCCATAAGATTTCAAACTTCTGGTCATTTTAATCCTATTATTAAAGGTGCATCTGAAGTCATTTTTCCTTTTGCCACAAAAGCTGACCAAATACCTACATATAGCTTTAAAGAGCATAATTTAGAGAAATACCAAAGGACATATTTGAACATTTTTTTCTGCTTGCTTTCTGTGTTATATATACACATGGCAGATAAGTAGTTCAGATGTCAAAGTAAAAGCAAAAATTCGAAGGTGCAGTTTAAATCTCTCTTATGGCTGATTGATTGATTAATTTGGTTTATCCCCTGTCAACTTCATATAAGAACCAGCAGAAGTGGTTTATATGCGTTACTTGGAATCCATGCTCCACCACACTCAGTTCAAATGTAGCTTTTAAATAAGTAGAAGTCAATGGGAAACACCTTTTTTTTCCTCAAAACCCTTGGCATAATAATGAATTTGAAAACTCAATAATCACCAATTTGTCTTTCTTTAGTGCATCAACTTTTGTCTTGTGTTAAAAAGAACACAAATGCTAGATGTATCCATGTATTTCAATAGAACTCCTGTCCCCCACTCACCTTGCCCTCTCCTGTGCTCACTAGTACATCAATTGCATACACTTCATGGACTTCAAATTCACATTTCTCATGTTCTTTCCTGGAAAAATGAACAAAATTACCACACAAGCTCAACAACGCCACAAAAGATTTGCTTCTGTCAAATGCCACAAACATGAATGGCCAAACCATGCTATTTCTATGTCCTGGTGTTCACAATATCAAACTTATTTCAGGTGTCACATTTATATGATCTAAAATATGATACAAAGAAACAATAAGTACAGGGGCGGATCCAGAGATGTTTTCTGACAGTCTTCCAAATTATCTTTGTTAATCCATCCTCCATTTTTGACCGTCTTCCAACAGAAAATATTAGATACCCGTCAATGTAAACTTGAAAATCTGACCGTCTTCCGGAAGACCCAGAAGACGCCCTAAATCTGTCCCTGAAGTAGGTTACGACTGTCAGCTGCACTTTCACAAGTCCCTTTCATTTCAGTAACAGAGAACCCATACTGCTAACAGTGAATGTTTTTAACAGCCAAATAACCGATTTATCACCAACTTAATGCAGTTTATAATGGCACCACACCAAATGCCAGTAAAACTAAAACCAGGACATTAAAATTCTGTTACTTTATCTGTTACTTGCCACTGTACTAGCTAGGACATCCCCATTAGGCCAGTAGGTTCTTAAACCGAAAAAAATTTTGCCAGTTCCTGTGGCTAACATTTTCGTTACCAATGTTACATGGTCCCATGTAATCATCTTACCCCATCAGGAATAATGTTACAGCTCTCTAATGGGCAAATGCAAATATCCTTATGTTTTTGTTTTCACTGGAGCCCAATTAAGGTAGTAGGCTTTTAAGGGTTATTTATTTTATTATTATTTTTTTTGGCACAGACTGGGTCTTCATAACCCACCTTTGCGCTTCATTTGGGTTCTGGATGATGGCCTTGTCTCCGTCAATTCTGTGATGTTGTATCTGGTAGGACAGCATGCCCTCTATTGGCTTACATTTGAATGACTCCGCTACTTTCTGAATAGCTTCAGTTACTGTGTAGTTCTGAAACAAGAAAAGGACTCATGAATAACTTGTCACATTTTGGGGAAGAATAAAAGGGTGACTTGAAGCAATGCTAACATGTAATGCTACGTTTAGCATTTATTTAGTATTTGGATTCTGTAACTTGAATATAGCATTTATTTAGTATTTGGATTCTTTAACTTGAATATAATAAATAGTGATACTTGCAGATATAACTTGTGGGCCCTCCCCTCTCCGGCAAGCATTTTAGAAAGACAAACTTTTTCATTGTGGGATATTCAGACTTTTTAATGTAGAACTAGTATGATAGGTTGATGGGTATGGGGCCTAGGGCTCAGTTTTCCTCTCCAGCGAGTGGGTCTGGAAATCCACTTACTTCCTCCCCTGGTTTAACTAGCCTCAGTGCCGCCTCTACTCCCCAGTACGCTGCTAATATGGCATCTGCTTTACGTCCCTTCACTTTGTTCTCCTGAGGAAGTCAAAGCCGTAGTTAAGTAAAAATCCTCAACATTTCAAATCTATCGATATTCAGAGTTCTGATGAAAAGATTAAATGGCAAGAAAATTTTACCTGCTGAATGATCAAACTGTTCTTAACTTTTGGAAGGAGTCATTCAACCCCATTATTTATAAACCTTACAGACTTGATAGTGTTACATAATTTGTGCAGCTAGACATGATACATATATTGACCATGCACATTTAATATAAATTGATTAATCAAAATATTA